GGTCAGGATTTTGTAAGGCAGGATGCATCTGGATATGCTTGGGTTAGGAATAAAAAAACATGTACATCTCACACATGGCAGGACTAGCCATGTGTTTCCAGAATCCAGAATACAGTACCTCAAAGCTGTCTGCTGTACAAACTAAGTAGACCCAGAGAACTTCAAATACAAATGGAAAGGAGGGTTGAATTAATGGTAAGTAACATTGTTAGTGTTCTGTTGTCTTTTGGGGGTGCTGATAGCAACTGAGCATTGTGTAGAATTATTCACATTATTCTTTTGTTGCCATTTACTATCACGTACCTAATTTTGCCATCTGTAATCTGAAATGACTCTTGCTCATAATTTGTGAGAAGATACCGATCATTTAGTTTTAGCTATTATTTTGTACTTTGTATATACACCCAGAGGTAGCATGTTACTTGAAAGCTGGAAGATACAAATGATCTCTGGTAATTTGTAAGCATATGGTGTTCCAACAGACATTACTAAAAAGCTATAGGCCCAGAGAGATTGTGTCCTACTGCAAGCATTGCATATGAATACGAGCTTCACACAATCACAATCTATCTTTATGCTGAAACATAAATGGAGATTTTTTGAAAATGTAAAACTGATGGGGCTTGTAAAGTAATGGAAATATTCCCCTCAAACAGTTATTCGTTATAGACAACAAAACACAACCCCCCCCAAAAAAAAAAAAAAACCTGCAAAAAGAATGTATAACCCTATATGACCACCACCTGACCTTTGTGTCATAGGCCAACTTTTACATATTTTCGTGTATATAAATGGAAAAATGTGATTTTTGAGTGTGTTGTCATGACTTGCCTATAAGAATTTATCTAGTATGTTCATGGAGTTTCCATTTCAGCAAACAGTTATTTTATTTTTATTATCTGCCTACAAATGCTGCCAAAATAGATAATGCAGGTGTTTGCATTTGCCTTTTTGCAAAAAAAAAAAAGTAAATATGTTATATCAGTTATAGTTATATTTTGTGTGGTTTCTGTTAGTTCACTAAAGGAGTTTTTGTTTTTTTGACTGCGTATGATCTGCTACTGATATATTTAAGAAATCTGTGCTTGTACTGGCACAGATATTTTAGCTTGCCTACCGATATGGGCCACTGATTTAATCTCCCTATTACCTGTTTATTAAGGTTTTGAAGGTGACTGCAAACAAGAAGTAAGCTGTAGTAGTTATAGGGCGGGTACAAAGCCTTACATTCTTTAAATGTAAAATATGTGTATATGTACACTTTTTAAATAACTCAGTTGGCCAGTGCTAAAGAATGAAGGTTTTGGATCTACCTCATTAATGGCAACTAGCAATAGAAACATGTGCAAACATTGGCTGAAGCTCTTGCTTCACTTTAATATTACCAGTTAATTGACTGGAAGTCAAGAAAGGACTTAAACATTGTGTGGAAGTGAGGAGGGAATGGTTCCTGTGAAATATATCTTTACTGATGATCGTTCATGCTTTGCATAAACCACCTCAAAAACCCAAATGTGACATTCCTGCCCCTTGTCCTATCAGAGAATGACTAATATTCATTGATAAAAAATACTAGGCATTCTCTGCACTTTCCTTACATTGCAGCTACTGTACACTTTTGCAGAGATACCATATAACAAAATTCCCAGAGCGGAGCCAATCTCATCAAGCATTGTTTACTTTTTAAGCTCATCAGTTGTTGACACGTTTGCTCTAGCTTGTCCAAGTTTGCTGGGAGCCAGCCAGGAGAGGAGATATGGTATAAGAACGAGATCGGGCACAAGAGAGGTGCTACTCTCACTCCACCAAGGGGTGAGGGCGGAAAAATTCTAGTGGTCAGTGGCCGCCGATGCAGTATGGGGCTCCGAGATTCGACCCCTGTGAGCTGGACCCCTCCCCTAGTTTCCCTCTGCTGTGCCGCTGTGTGTGACTGTGGAACCAGTGTGGCTGTAACTGCCGTCTGACAGCCATGAAAAGTTTCCTCTGTGGTAGGTGAGTGTTGTCTCTCTCCCCCTCTGTCTACCGTTCCTGAGCTGCAGCGTGTTTTTTTTTTTACTCTCCCTCCCCCGCCTGTCTCCCATTTCTGAGCTGCAGTGTTTTTTTTTTTTCTCTTCTCTCCCCTGTCCATCTCCCAATCCTGAGCTGCAGCATGAGTGTGTTTTTTTTTTTTTTTACTCTCTCACCCCCCTTTGTCTCCAGGTCCTGAGCCGGTCTATGTGTGTGTGTGTGTGTGTGTGTTTTTTAAACTCTTTCTCCCCACACTGGTCCCAGATCCCATCAGTATTAAGCCCCATTCACACCAGTGCAATTGCGGATCAGTGTGGTTTCCGCGCTGATCCGGAAACCACTGATTTCAAAAGGGAGATTTTGGTAGTTTTTAATTTTGTTTCAGCGCTGAGACGCAATTAAAAATGGCCAAAACTGAGCTAATTAGCGCGGTTCCATTGAAAGCTGTATGGAAACTGCACTAATCAGCGCGGCAAAAAAGGGTCAGGGAGCAGTTCGGGCGGGGGGCAGTTTGGATCGCACTGAGCCGCGCGGTCGCATGAATGGTCCCCATAGCAATGTATGGAATCGTTCATGGTGGCGGATCAGCAGCCCGGTGTGAAAGGGGCCTTAATGGAGTGTGTGTCCAGTGGTGGATCCAGGGGGGGGAGGTAACAGAGCAATTGCACCCTCCACCACTCTTAGGGCCACCATCAGGGGGGGATGGCCGATACACATATGAGGGGTCTGGGGGGCCTGGGCTACCTAAATGGGTATCGGCCGTACCAGGGGCGGCATGGCAGAGGTGACAGGGGAGGAGGTGGAGGAGGCCGGGCCCCAGCAGCGGCAGCTAAGAGGAGCTGGGAGGAGGTGCAGGGAAAGGGCCCCTGACCAGCTCACCTGAGACACTGCAGAGCCCACCATAGAGAGTCTCGGGTGGGCTGTGCCGGATCTATGGTGTGCTCTGCAGGGTCACTCTTAGGTGGGGTCTCAGCTATGTGTGGGGTCCATGGTGGGCTCTGCAGGATCTCAGGTGGGCTCTGCGGGGCATTAGGTGGGTCCAGAGTCCAGTTACTGTTAGTGAATAGGGAGTGCAGTAAATGTTAGTGAATAGTGTTAGTAAATAAGTAGTGCGGTTAGTGTTAGCTTATGGTCCTACTCAACATATTTTGCGGTTCTCCGTACTGGTACAGTATTCTGTACTTCTGTATAATGCTACATAGAATTTTGTGTTATGTCACCAGGGCAGGCGCTGCTAGGCAAAGTAGACAGCTTGTGAGCCCACATCCGAAAATGTTGATTGCGCTATACATGTTAGGTATTGCTGCATATGCATCCAGCGAGAGCCACTATAGCTTAATAGAGCACAAATAAAATGTATGGGGATGTTGGGGTGGCATTGTGGTGGGGGGGGGGGGGCAAAATTTTTCACCTTATCACCTTCACCTGTGTAGGCAAAAAATCCTTGCACAGAGTGGGCACTGGGACAGTGAGAAGAGTGGGGAAAAAAGCAGTAGACAGCTAGAGAAGGTGCGAAGAGCTTCCGGAAGTGACACTGATGCCACCCCTGAAACAGTGCCATGCATTAGCATGGTGTGAGCCATCTGCCATCACCATAACATCCAATGACACTGTAGGGCGAGGCTGTCCGCACTATGGAAATGCATCAGACTGTGCAGCCTAACCGCCAGCATCTAGGAAGCAGTGATGCTGGATCGTTGGGTAGCATCATTCCTTTTCTTTTGCATACCCCTATACATGCTTCCATGTACCCCAGGTTGGGAACTGCTGTAAAAAAATCTGCAGGTCTGCATGATTAGACAACACCCTCTAGGGGTAGTAAAGGAACAGATTGTTTAAAACAAAAAGTAATGTAAACACAAAGTCAGGGTATGCTACTAGATACAGGATTTATTTTCATTAATGCTAACCCATCATATTGGTATATTTTACATAAACTGCAGGGGCAAGCACAAATGTACAATGCTCAGTGAAAGTTATCCTTTAAGCCAAAGGTGGTGGTAGAGGAGGTTTTCTGTATTACAGGTTAACTTACTCCCTTCTTTGTTTATTATAAGCACCTGATATTTGTGACCCCTGGTACTTATCCACCTGTACAGAAAATGTTTTATGTTGCAGACATTCTCATCATGCTACAATGGCGCAAGTTTATGTAGAAGTGTCCTCATGGAAATCTGTGTTTGTCAGCCACAAGGACTTCTTGTTGCCTAAATGCATATATACGCTTCTCTTTTCTTCGTTCAACCTACCAGACGAACAAAGAAAATGGAACTGATCCCTCCATCAATGCATACAAGCGTTAATTGAGAAATCTCCCGCTGTTTCCTCCTGCAGTTTCCACTGGCTGCTGTCAGAATACCTGAACAGAGCTGGCGGCTCATTGGCTGCTAGCTCTGTTTAGCCGACAATTTTCCAACATGCTCCTTTAATCAGCTGATCGAAGGATGCCGGTCAGAAAGTTGCCAACCTCCTGCACCCACGCATCAAATTACGGCCAGTTCATCAAGAAACGGATACAATTCGAAGCTTGTATACCTGGCTTAACTGTATGTTGTGCTCTTTATCAAGCGTAGTATGATTTTGCACCTCTTCTCCTCTGTGGTCAGCAACTCCCTTTGATGTCTGTTACACTTCTTTTATTATTCATGGGAATGTCTCCTTTATAACATAATCAAAGCATCATATGATGGTTGTTTTTGATACAAGTGAGGCAACTTTAAAATCTTTACACTAATGACAGTTGAAAACAGGTGGGTTCTGCCATGTAGTAGTATCTTGATTATTAGTTATGATGCAAACTATTATATGCACTTAGTCTGAAAAAAATAATGGAGACTGGAGTCATTCTTTTCTTTTGAACATCATTACAATTCTGATTTCCTGTATTCATGTACATTACCTATGCCAATTTATCTTCATAAGATGTTTTTGCTCATTGTAATGTGCCACGTTTCTTGATTTCTCATGACTGACTCGCATATGTTCTGTTTTAGGAGAAATCTGATGCTGGCTCCACCTCATTACAGCTGCGCTCCCAAACTGATGTACGTACAACAACTGATTATTTTCATCTTTCTCCCTATGGTTGTTTCCCTTGCGATTCCTGTTTTTTTGTTCCCCCTCTTCTGTGACATATTGAGTAAATTCCCATTTTCTTGCCATTTTAGGATTCTTTTGAATTTAACAGTGCTGTATCCACGCCAGAGACTGAAAGAAAGTAAGTCATACACTTTTTAGTTGAGCAATATGTAATGTATTTTATAAGTCATATAAAACAACAATCTTCAAAGCTTCACAGAAATAAGGGCACAGTTATATAAATATTCAGCCTACATGATATAATAAAAAGCTAGAGTATAGCCAAAAAGGCTTTTTCTGCTTTAATATCGATTATTCAGCTTTCGGTTTGGGTTTGTGACATATGCAAAGGCATGGGTCTGTAAGCTCTGCAGATAGGAGATTTTGAGGGACTGTAGTCTGACTGTTCAGATAATGTGGACTAACTTTTATGATATGTCATAATGGTAAAACCTGAGGATAGTGAAATACGACATTTAAACACAACCCTGCGAGTAGCAGTGATGTTGAAGAATGCTGGTGAAGAAAAGAGGACATGCTGCTTTCATTGTCAAGCTTGATCCTACACTCATATTATTATATGCCACTGTAAATCACAAAGCTCTCGTTTATAGCCCATATATAGCATGTTTGTACAAATATTTATCCATTTATAAAGCTAAAATAAGTTTGCTTTCATCAGTGCAAGATATAAAATTGAAAGCTTCTATGATGTTGGCTTGAGAAGCAAGATAAACTTAACATTCTGCAGAGTGATGCCAAAAGGAGCCATATACTTTTAGGTTCATGATCGTCATCCTAAAATTTACCTTTGAAGTGACCCCCACCCCTAAAAGGACCCTTTCTCAGCTGCACTGTATTTTTTGTGTGAGTCCTCAGCTCTTCATGCCCAGCTCTTCATGCCCTTTTTTGAATAATAGCTTGCCTTATACCCTTGAAAATGGCCAGAATGTATTTTAAAGATTTGCCTCCTTCCTTACAAAGACTTTAATGCAGTTTCCTGCTGAGTTCGGGTTTTACAGATTTCAAACAATACTGAAGCCTAGGCAGATTCACCCATTCCCTACTTATCTTATTCCTCACTCCCGCAAGCTTTGTCCGAGCTGTTCGACTGACCCCCACACCACCCCCCTCCCCAAGCCATTTCCCCTTGCCATTCTGCCAGTTCCATGAATTTCAACGTCATTACTTACAGAGCAGGACCAGAAGTGCACTCCTGCATTTTAACTGAAGGTGGCAAAAGATTGCAAGATTAACCCCAAAAAATTATTTCAATATATTAACAGTAAACAAAATCAGGTCTGAGCATGTAGGCCCCTTAAAAGATAACTCAGAGTTGGTAAGTGGGGACGAAGAGAAGGCAAATCTATTAAATACTTTCTTCAGCATTGTGCACACCAAGGAACAGGATGTAACTCAAGTCCATAATGGGGATAGCAGTGCCATAGCCTCTACTGAACCATAATGGCTGACTATTGATTTGGTCCAGAAACAATTAGACAAAATTAAGGTGAATAAAGCACCTGGACCAGATGGCTTACACTCACGTGTCCTCAAGGAATTGAGCTGTGTAATTTCAAAGCCATTGTATCTAATTTTTAGAGACTCTCTAAAATTCTGTACTTCTGTATAATGCTACATAGAATTTTGTGTTATGTCACCAGGGCAGGCGCTGCTAGGCAAAGTAGACAGCTTGTGAGCCCACATCCGAAAATGTTGATTGCGCTATACATGTTAGGTATTGCTGCATATGCATCCAGCGAGAGCCACTATAGCTTAATAGAGCACAAATAAAATGTATGGGGATGTTGGGGTGGCATTGTGGTGG